CGGAGGCCAGCCTATTTTTTGTGCTAATTTATATAGAACAATTGTCTACTCATGGATGAACGATTACACAAGCTTTACTAGACCCTAAAACAGGATATATCGGTGCCCAATCCCTATCTTTACTCAAAGCAATACAAGCGACCAGATGTATTTAAGATGATGAAAAACCTCAATTTGACTATTCTATATTTTTGAGTTATATAGCAATTATGTATCGAGAACTAAGTATTTCCAGCGATGTTCCAACTGTCAAGCTGACTAAAGCCCTCAAGACGGGTAAGCTACGTCTTACAGCAGATCAATTAAAAGGATCCGGTGCTGTTATTCATCTCCATCCTACATCGTACAAGATTCTATGAAATCACGTAAAGCGAGACGAGGCGTGCGACTCGATATTACCCGACATGAAATCAAGAAAGGCTACAAGCGAGTTCAAGGTGGATCCATCCGGAGTAAAATCAAATCGGGATTATCGTCAGCATTCAAGTTTGTGAGAGACAGTGGATTACTATCGAAAGCAGCGGACGCAGCAGTACCAGCTCTGGCGACAGCCTTGGGAGCCCCTCAAGCAGCTATTCCAGTCAGAGCAGCAATTAAATCAATGACAGGTGTTGGAATTTACGATAGCGATGAGCAAGATGTAGGAGGTCGTATCTCCGTAGCAGACGTGAAAATATCAGCTAAGTCTGCACTTTGTTATGCAAAACGCAAGGGTGTCCTGACAGATGCAATCGATGTCGGGGAAAACTATCTTCTTAGTAAAGCAACGAAACCTGAACATGAAACGCTTATTAAATCAGTTAGAGGGGAAGTCAGACGACGCTACGGGGTAGGCATTCAAAAGCGGAAGAAACAAATAAAGGGTTTTCAAGAAGCAAAGGATCGAATGGCTGATCTCCGTGCTAAGCGTAAGAAACCGATGGTAGCTGGCTCTTTTCGATCAAATTAATTCCGCCCTATTTTATTAAAAAAAATATCGAGCAAGGCTCGGACGGAGGCAGAGTCTTGCAACTCATGTTTTCTTTAGTGGCTCGGACGAGGTCACCTGGTATCAAATTGCTTACTTTTTAGGAAGCATGATCGAAACCGATGTATCACGCAACTTGACCTTTAGATCATTTTGATTAAAGATGCTGATGGTAATCGAGGAACGAGCGCCATTGTGGCAATTCATCCATGCATACTGACTCGGCTTGTATGAAATCAATTGGCCTACATGGGCATCGCCGCGGTCAAAAGCACTCAAGATACCACCAGAAGCTACGTATTCGCTCTTAATAATATCACATCGTACAACACAGCTCGAACCCGGATTGATCTGAGGAATAGTGTTCGATAGTTGTGCAGATGACACAGTAGCAGGGACGGCAGGATATGTACCGATCGTCAGACCTACAATCTTACCAAATGCAGCATTATCAATAATGATACGAGGAACACGGGACGTAGTTGGTAATCCCGTTCCACCAGCGCTATACAGACAGGAAGCAGGACGGGTCAAGCCGGCAGGAAGAAACGTTGGGGTAGCACTGAAATCAAATTGAGCTGCGTAATAAACACTATTTTCACTCAATTGGATATAAAAGACGTTATTACCGGAACCGTGAATTAGATAGGCACCAGAATTTACGAGAGCTGTCCGAATGCTTCGATTGATATCCGAATATGAGTATAATCCATCAGACAGTGTTATAGAGATAGTGGATGTTGTAGCTGCTGTCGGTACTTCGATCTTAAACGAATTGTTCCAGAACTGCGTTGCATCAACGTTATACTCGATTGAATAGCATATGCTACATCCTTAAAATCAGCTGCAGACCCTGGGAAACTATACTTCCATGTACTATTGTACCCATCTTGAACGAGGTTGGTTGAATCGATCTTTAGAAACGAAGCCATAGTGTTTATCGGGCTATATTGGTTTAGATATAATATTTTATAACTCGTTTGGATCAATTAATCGATCGAAGCTGTACCGTAGCTGACCTTTAACCGAATCTACGAAGAGCATCTGACCACGGCGCTCGGTAAAAATAATCTATGTATGTTTATTCTTAAGCATTCCCCTCACGTGTTTGCACATCTAACTATCATCGCAAGAAACCCCCATCAGGAGCTGTACGAGTATCTCCGCGACAAACTTGACGAATTTATTACTTTTACTGACCCTGATGCGCCCCCAAGCGTAGATCAAGTTCGTAGAACCCCGATGAATTTAAACAAGCCTGAACTTGTTAAGAGTGATAGAGCTAAACCAGCTATTACTAAACGTGTTAATTGGCAAAGCACGCTACA